GGGGAATCCCTTTGGTTTTGATCGACGGCGCCGAGTGTTGGGGGGGGAGGCCTCCCCGCGGTTTGAAACGCGCCGCCGAATGTTTCCAAGGCAAACGCCCGTGAAACGCGTTCTCTCTTATGCAAAATTATGATACGCTTTGCTAATACGTGTCGCTATGCTCTGCTGCCGTGCTATGATATGCTATGTTACGCTGTGTCATGATCTGTTATGCTATGTTAATGTGTGTTATGTCATGATCGGTGATGTTATGTTATGTTGTGTTATGTTGTCGTCTGCTCTGGCATGTTATGCTCTGGCATGTGCTGCGATGCCATGTTATGCCCTAGTGTGTCATGGCATTGCTACGCAATGTTCTGGCATGTTCTGTCATGCTCGTGTTCTGTTGTGTAATGTTATGGTGTGCGATGTCGTATTCTGTCGTGTTCTTCGTCGCAACGCTCTGCTATCGTGGTATGGTATGGTATGTGATGCTGTGTCACGCTATGATCTGCAATTTCAAGGTGTGTTATGACATGAGTGGCTCTGTTCGGTTCTGTTTAGTTATGACGTGCTATGGTATGTCATGTTATGTTCTGGTATGTTATGTGATGCCTTGCTTGTTCACGGCTCGGCTCTGTATAGAAAATGACGAGTTGCTCTTCTAGTATGTGTCACCATGTTTTGCTGCCGTGTTATGATCTGCCCTCTGACGCTTTGTCATACTATGTTATGTTATGTCAAGGCATGTTCTGTTATGCTCGGTTATGCTCGGCTACATTGTGTTATGCCGTCGTCTGTTATGCCATATTTTGTTATGCCATGTTCCGTGATGTTATGTTCTGCGTTACTTTGTCATGGCATTGTTGTGTCATGTTTTGTCACAGTCTGTCATGCTCGTGTTCTGTCATGCCATGTGTTGCTGTGCCTAGTTGTGTTCTGTCGTGTTCGTTGTCGCTGTGCTCTGCTGTCGTGTTATGGTATGTTCTGTGGAGCTGTGTCATGGTATGACATGCTCCGATAAGGCGTGTTATGATCGGTGATGTTATGCTATGTTGTGTTATGTGGTCTTCTGTTCTGTCATGTTTTGTTATGATATGTTATGTGATGTTGCACCGTGCTCTGTTTTGACATGGCATTGCTGTGTTCTGTTCTGCAGCGGTCTGTCATGATCCTGTTCTGTCATATCATGTCATCTTGTGTTCTGTCATGTTCGTCATCGTTACGCTCTGCTGCCGTTTTTTGATCTGTTCTGTGAGGTTGTGTCATGATATGATATACTCTGCCAAGATGTGCTAAGCAATTCTCGGTTATGCTATGGTATGTTGTTTTATGCCGTCTTCTGTCATGTCATGTTATGCTATGGTATGTTATGTGATGTTATGTTATGCTCTACGTTGTAATGCTATTGGTTGTTATGTTCTGTAATGTTTTGTCATGCTCTGCTTCGTCCTGCCTTGTTCTGTTCTGCCATGTTGTGTTCTGTCATGTTCGTCGAGGGCGCGAGGCGGGACACCTGGGATCCTCGGGGATCATCGGGACAACTTGGGGTCTGGCGGCCGTGGTATGCAGGGTTGAGTTGGTTGGGAGCGAGGTGGGATATTCGGGACCACCGGGACAACTTAGGGTCTGGTGGCCGCGGTATGAAGGGTGGGGTTGGCCAGGGGCTTGTTCTTGAAATCTAGCAACCCCAACCTGTCGGGTGGGGAAAAAGCCATCATCATCGATCTCATCACTTTCCTCATTATTTATATATGCATCATTGCTTCCTATGCTCACTTCTCCCACTTCGCTCTTCTCTTCAATTATAGCATAGCATATTATCTTCTCTTCCCTTCTCTGCTCTTCGCCTCCTCCTCCTCTCGCCACCTCCTGTAGCGGCGAGAGCAGAGAGAACGGTGTAGCGGGTGCTGGGGGCTGTTTAGTTAACACTTGCCCCGGGTGCAATGAAGGCGAGGATGTCAAGTGTCCTCGCTATTGGCTTCTTATGCCCACAACTTGTCTTGTTGTTCCTGGCCACCGCCCACTCCGCGTGGGCGACTTCGGTCTGCATGGCGTCTCCAGCGTAGTGCACGCCCCTGGCAATAATGCCCTCTTATCCTCCTCCCTCTTCCACCTCCTTCTTGCCTTTCTCCTCGCCTCCTCCCTCCTCCGGTTGCCATCTTGCGTGGGGTATGCAGAAGACCTCTGTCACAGCACATGCTGCATCCCTCGGCGACCATGTGGCCTTCGATAGCCCTCGGAATGGCCTTGGATGGCTTCGGAATGGGATCGAATGGCCTCGGAGTGGCTTCGGATTGCTTCGGACATGGCGCGGACAATTGGGCCAGGCGAGGCAGGGAATGCCCAGATTCAACACAGCTTCTCATCTTCTCCTCCCTCCGTCCTTCGTTTTCCCACCTTCCGTGCTTCCTCTGCCCTTCTCCCTCATCCTTTCTCCTTCTCCTCCTTCTTCTTTCTCCCTCCTCTTTCCTCCCTTCGCCCTCCTCCCTCCTCTTTCCTCCCTCCTCCCTCCCCGCCCTCCTCCTCTTCCTCCCTTCTCCTTCCGTTTCCCTCCTCCTTCCTCATCTCCTTCTTACCCCGTCGTGGAATGCCGGAGTGCTAGAATGTTGCGAGTGGGAGGGTCCAGTCATGTGAAGGCACCTGCGAAACGGCACAGACAGAGAGAGAGAGAGAGAGAAAATACAAAATAACAGAGACCTGCGGCCCCGCGCGGAGCAGGGCGGCGGGCCGTGGGCCAGGCGGCGGCGGCGGGTAGCCTGCTTCCTCGTCCTCCCCCTCCTTCCTCATTTGTGCATGCGCTTTGATGGATTCACGGTGGAACTGCGAGAGAGAGAGAGAGAGAGAGATTTGATGAAGCACGCGCTGCGCAGAACTGCGATCCGCCATGCGGCCCGAGGGGGTTTCTCGATCGCTGCGCGCCTGCCCGCCGGTTCCGCGGCACGCCACTGCTCGACTCGTCTTGGGGGCTTGCTGGAAAGCACGGCGCGCTGCAGCATACCTTCGCGCTTCGCTGGGGCAGACAATTCCAGCGCACGCTTCCGAGGCACTGCAGGGGAGCGTCTGCGCGAACCCGGTTATAATGCACATGTGTTTCACGTAGCCAATTTTCCTGCCGATGCGCCGTTCAGGCGCGGCTCTGTGTGCGTGCGCGTGGAAAAGCACGGTGCGGAACACGCGCGCGCCCCATTGCCATGAAGCTTGGCAAGTCCCCTTCAGATTCTGGGGCAAAACGCTACCGAGCCGACCACAGCTCGAGCGGGTGTCAATCCCTCGGTGGGCAGCCACGTGTGGAACGTGCGCAGGATTGGAATCATGACTGACAGAGCCCCTGCATGGCTGATCGAGCCAAGGCTGGGGGCGCTGGAGATCGGGGGACCCCCAAGCAGGGCTCGCATCTCTGGATACCACGACTTACAGGCTGCAGCACATGCTGGGCTCGCCTCAGAGCCATCGGTCGCGCGTTTCGTGCCCAGGACTCCTCCAGACTGGTTGTCCGACTGTTCCGCAACTCACATGCTTAGAACGATCTGATGTCTTTCTTACGTGGCCGCTGGGCAACTGTATCTGGTAGCGCTGCAGACACAGTGCCGTGGCCAGCGCACGTGTCAGCCGCCCAAGACAGCAGGAACCCCCAAATATAGAGTGCGCCCTCAAAAGGATATCCTCGTCCGTGACATGGCCCTTGGATTTGCGGCGTGAGATGTCATGATGAAAGGTGCGATGGACCTCTCATCATTCCTGTCATACGTCCGCGCTTCAACAGTAGGCCCTTTGATCCTCTCGAAACTACGGACGACGTGTGCGGGAGCCAAGGCCGAAAAACCGTGATCACCGTATCCTCCCTCCTTCCTCCACTTCTGCCTTCGACTCCTTCCTTCATTCCTTCCTTCCGGCTTGCGAGTGAGCCATGTCCTTGCATTGATTCGGGTTTCTGTTCTTCCTTCGGTCGTTGTCCCTCCGCCGTGCTGTTTTTCCTTGGCCCTTGTTTCGTTCGCGTTTCGGGTCCTTGTTCGGTCCACACTCGTCGCTGTGATGAGACCAGGGGAGTTAGCGCCTTACACTCACCCATTATCACCCACGCCCCAATTGAGAAAACGCTGGTATGCAACTCCTGCGATATTCGTTTCAGTATTAGCGCTGGTATATCGGTGGCCAGAAACCGACCTAGACCGACATCATGTTTGGTCTAATCTGGGTTCATTAACCGTGCTACACAACCATTACAGGCGGCCCGGATTAGTAGTTCGACCCCCCCAAATCAAGAGTGCCCTTGTGTCCTGTATCTCGCGACCCATGCCTCCTACATTCCTATGGCAATGTGGCCCTTGGGTCTTGTGTCCTGTCGCGCGCCCTGTCCAATCGAGTCCGACTGTCACGTTCTTACGAAGACCTCCCAGACGTTGCTCCCTTCTTTCCCTCGTCCTCTCTGCTCCATTCCTCCTCCCTCCTCCCTTCTCCCTCCTCCGGCTCGGGAGCTACCTCCCTCCTCCCTTCTCCTTCCTCCGGCTCGGGAGTTCCCTGCCAGGGGCACCGCGCGCGCGGGCGCAGCCAGAGCGATGGAGGCGATCCGGCTGGCGTACATGGAGGAGGCGTCGTGCCACCTCGCCTTCGGCGACGGAGGGGGCACGTGGCGCAGGTATCCAGTCTCGCTGGCGCGCCCCCGCGGCCAGGGAGGAGGGGGACGAGGTTCTCGAGCGTTAGCTGAACCGATCCGCGGAAAGGAGGGGGAAGAAGGAGGATGGAGGATCGAGGATGGAGGATGGAGGAGGAGGAGGAGGAGGGGGAGCAGGAGGAGGAGGAGGAGGAGGAGGATGGAGGATGCCTCTCTCCGGGATGTTTTTCTTCCGAGGCCTCTTCCTCTTCCTCATCTTCCTCCTCGGCTTGCCGAGATGCGCTGCGCAATTCGATCTGCAGCCAGTTCCGTATCCTTCTGCCTGTTCTTGCTTGCCATGACCGATCGCGTGGGTCGCATGCTCTGCTGCCTTGCTGCGCTGCCGCTGCTGACGGTCCGCTGCACCATGGTCTGCCTCCACATCGTAGCGCATTTCATCATCGCCCATCTTCATGGCCAGAAGTTCCCGTCGACCGGGGCGGCTCTAGCAGCTGCATCTTCTGTTCTTCGTCTTGGTTTCGGCGCTGCCCCCCTGCGCCTCAATTTGATTGCCAACCATGCCAAGCGCAGCAGGTTCCTCGTGATCTGTGCCCCGTGGCGGCGCAAGCAGCGCACGGCGGAGAGCTACATCTTCTGCGACGCAGTCGAACCAGCTCGCCTTCGCATTCTGGACCACTTTCCTGCTGCTCGGCCTCTTGAGCCCGAGGCGGCACCCTTACTTTATGACCGTTTGCACTGCGGTGCCCTGGGCCAATCCCTGACGGCCTCTTAATCCGTGTGCGATCGTGTTCGTTCCTCGCGCTTGTCAGGCAAATCTTGGTGCAAGTGCCGATGCTTGTGCGCCCGGATTCATTTCCGCTGTTGCTTAATCGACGTTCCGATCTGCCCGTCCGTGATATTGGCCCCGCAGTTGGATGGCCAAAGCCCGCCACAGAGACCAGGGCTGAGGAGCCGAGTACGCGCCACCAGCAGGTCCAGGATTGCCGCGCCACGCTCCATGAGCCCGCTCGGTCCCTCACGCCTGCTGCGGAGCGTGCTGTTGCCTGCCATGCTCGCGCGCCCCTGCGCTGCTTAGCGTGTCAACGGCTTCGGTTTCGCAGGGCCCGAAGCCACACACGCGCTAAGAATTGGACCGTGACCGTAGGTGGTGAGGACCATGCAGGCGTTGCCGCCGCTGCTCAAGACCAGGTGCCTTGCGATGGCGCTCGTGGGCGCCCTGCTTGCGGTCATTGGTCGGGTGCTGGAGGGGCCCAAGCGATGACTGCGACCACTGCTGCGAGCCCAAGCTGGGTCTGGCTATAACGACGGGGGGGCGAGGCTTCAAATGCCAGACCAGCACGCGACATGCTGAGCTCATGGGCCAGCCATCGCGAACACGTTCGGCCAGGCGGGCCCGCTCCTGACGTTCATCCCGGTGCCGTGCAGCGCGATGGCCGTTTTCGCCGCGATGGCGGGCCTGGCCGTGAGCACGCTCCCGCAGAGGACTGCCGCCACAGTGCTCGACGTGATCGGAGAACGCTTTGCTGGTGCTGGCGGTCGTCGAAGGGTTCGCCTCGACTGGCCCCTTGCCGCGCCGGCCGTGCGCAGCTGACATCGACTGCCCACCCCGGAGCCCGACTCTGACGGGGGGTGCTGTTGGGCTGCGTCCGCTCTCTCGGCGTGGTCGAGGTTTTGCTGTTGATGCCCTTCCAGCGCCTCCTCCTCGCTGTATTGCGACGGCTTCGTGCCGAATGAATACTCCAGATTTCGTAATAAAAGGGAGGGGGTCTGGACCCTCCAAGACAAGCCATTTCAGACCTCCCCCGTGGGAGAACCCTCCAAAACATCGTCGCCAGACCCCCCAGGCCCCCCGAAATTAGACCCCCCTCCCTTTATTACGAAATCTGGAGTATTCCCACTTCCTCGGCGATTTCTTCACTCCTGTCGGTTTCTAAGGCATGCAATACGTAACATCGAAGGCCATGTGCCGAACATGCCGAACAACAGTCTGCTATGAGGACGCCGCCGTCGGCCACGAGCTCGGCTGACGAACTCCGCCCCCGTGTTACTGTCGCTCGTGGCCGCGTCGGCGCGCGCCCGCTGGCATCCAGGACGTGGGCCGTCGTTGGCCATTCGAGGCGCGGTGACCCCTCCCGCCCTCGGCGACCTGTGCCCGTGAGGAGGGCCTCCCGAGGAAGCGCAGCGGAAGCGGGAGCGATCGGCAGCTTTACTGGCGGCAGCCGGGCGGAAGCAAGGCTTTCTCTTCCTCCCAGCCACGCTGGAGCGCACGCTCGCTGCTCGAGGAATCGAGGAGCGGCGACCTCCCGCCCTCGCCGGTGTGCCCTCGAGGAGGAGGAAGAGGAGGAGGAGGAGGAGGAGGACGATCGGGGTGGAAGCAAGGTTTCTTCTCTCCGCCTCCTGGCCACGCTGGTGCGAACGCTCGCTGGTCGAAAGATCGAGGAGCGATGGCCCCCCGCCCTCAAAATGATGCCCACGTGGAGGGCCACGGAAGCGCGGCGAAAGAAAAGACGATCGGCAGCTTCACCGGGCCGGAAGTTTGGCGGGATCAGGGGCAGCGCTGATTAGAGAGGAATAGACGGTGACGACGACGACGCCGGCGGCGACGCCGACGCCTTCGCCGACGCCTCCTCCGAACTCCGAGCAGTTGCCCGGCCGCCAAATGGAAGCCGCCGAATGGTCCGCTGAGGAGGCCGCCGAATGCCACCGGAGGCCGCCGGGGGGGGGGTGCGCCCCAGACGTGAGGCTAGGTCAGGGGCAATTTAGGGTGGGACGCATCGCCCATTCATCGCCGATTGTCGCCCAACCGCCTCAACCTGCCCAGGGCCGTTGGTCCTGCCAGTGGAGGACGGACTATCGCTGATACATCGACGATGTATCGCCCCTCGTGGGCGGGAGCTGGCGCCAGCATGAAGTCCCATGTGAAACGGGTCTTGCGTTTTACTGGCCAGTGTTGAGGTCCCTGGGTCCCCCATGGGCCCCAGGAGCGTCATGCGGCGACTCGCGATGGAACGTTGGTCCCAGGGGTCGGGGGCTCGTAGAGGAGGGGTTATCCCAAGGTGTGTTTGGGAAGCGTACCTGGCCGGGTGCTCACACAATCGAGCATATGATTTTAAAGCCTCCCTAGAACAAACAGATGGGTCCGCGTGAGTTAACGCTGAATGACCTTGCCAGACGGCTTGCCCAGTTCCATCGGTTCAGAGAAAGCGGCGCAAGACATAGAGCTTCGAAGAAAGGAAGCAGGAGTAATTCATGTCCAGCCAAGTAATTGATAATTAGTTTAATTCATGAATGCAGAAAGGAGTTATTGGATGCCTTAATTCATGATTATATGTATCGGACTGAGTTCCCTTTTGAATTTTTCGCATTATGTTATGTATTTCTTTCGTACTTCAATAATCAATGACATGCTTCATTACTTCCTGGCCTTTGGTCCTTCTTGGGGATGAAATTGTTAATTCATTAACTGATTCTTCACGCTTCGCTTGCCCCCACCAGCCCATTCAGAAACGTGGCCATGAGAGCTGACGGAAAAAGGGACGAAAAGACACGTAGATAGTGAAACAAAGCGGGGAACCAGGATGAACAGAGAGGTCTCTGGGAGCAAGGGGGAGGGGGCCGTTGGAGGGCCTCTTCGGCCCATCCCTGTTGCCCGCGGGTGGGCGAGAGGAGGAAGAGGAGTCGGAATCGAAGTATGAGGAGGAGGAGGAGGAGGGGGAGGGGGAGGAGACAAACCGCCTCTTGGGGCCCGTGTGGGACGCTCTTGGGGCCATCTTGGGGCCCTCTTGGGGCTCTCTTTTTGGACCCTCTTTGGACCCTCTCGGCGCTCTGTTGAGGCTCTGCTGGGGCCTTCTTGGGCGCCTTGTGAGGCCTCTTGGGACCATCTTGGAGGGGAGGTTTCCGATTCACGTCCCCCGCCCCTGGGCCCCCCAGGGGCGGGGGACGCAGATCGCCTCGGGTCCCTCTGGGCCGCCCATGGGCGCTCCGAGGACCGTCCGGGGGCGCTCGTGGCCGCTCTTGGCCTCTCTTGGGCCAGCTTGGGGCCAGCCGGAGGCTTCAGCGGGCGCCCCGGAAGCGAGAGGCGAGGCGGCATACATCCTCATGTTTTAAATGTATTTATATATTTGACTATATTTATGTATATACATACATACATACATACATACATACATACATACATACATACATACATACATACATACATAGATACATACATACATACATACATACATGCATGCATACATACATACATACATACATACATACATACGTACGTACGTACGTACGTACGTACGTACGTACATACATACATACATACATACATATATCTACACTTTATACTTTACCAATTCTGGCTTCTTAAGGGGGGGTCCCGAGGGTGATTCTGACACCCTCCTCCGTGTACCTATTTTGGCTCAAGATGAAAAGAGATCTTGTTGCTAATCAACACATTATCTCATCATGGTAGCGTGAGCTGGCCACTCACTGTTGCCAACCCACCAGGGCCTTGGCGCGCGCGGGCGCCACGGCGAGTTGGCAAGGCGCGTGGGCTGAGACCCGAGGCTGGAAGAGAGCGGCATCAGCCGCACCAAGCTCGGCAGCGGCCGGGCCACCGGCAGAGGCTGAGAGGAGACCACCGGCAGAGTCCGGGAGGAGTCGACCGGCAGGAGCCGGGAAGAGCGGCCGCAGGCGCGGCAAGAGGAGCGACGCAGCGGTTGAGAATAGACGCCGTCAGCTTCAGTTCAAACACGGCCTGAAGGACACAGGCAACAAACTGCACGACCTCGCGTATATCGAGGACCACCCGTCGGAGAATTCGTCGGGCGCCATCGAGGAGGCAAAGAAGGAGGTCTTGGATCAGATCATAGGCCTCGAGCGCACGAGGCAGGAGATAGCTGAGAGCAAGGAGGAGCTCGCCAGGAGACACGCAGTCAAACATGGACGAGCAAGTTCGGCAGCAGTTCGACTTACTGAGGCAGGAGTTCGCAGCCCGAATGAGTCAGACCGTCGACGAGATGAGGAGGCTGGAGAACGAGAATCAACGGCTTCAGCAGCAAGTAGCAGGAGGCCTCGCGGCGATCCCGCAGGCGATCGAGCGCATGGGCGAGCAGATCCGAGGCGCTACGAACGCGGGAGGAGCCGCACCCGGTCTCGTCGACACGAAGGGGATCGGCAAGCCCACGACGCTAGGCGACGATCAGGAGAAGTTCGGAGCTTGGAACCGCAAGATGGAGAACTACGTGATAGGCGTGTACGGAGAGAGCTTCCGTCCTGTTCTCCGGTGGGCGGCAGAAGCCGAACGCCCCGTGACGATCGAAGGGGCACAGGAGGCGCACGGAGGAGTACCAGAGCTGGAGACCAAGATCAACCAGCTGTACGCGGCGCTGATCAGCACGACGGCGGACGGCAGCGAGAGCAACGACCTCGTGACGGGCGCGCCCGACGGGAACGGTCTCGAGGCCTGGCGGAAGCTTCACCGCAGGTGGGACCCGACGACAGGTCCGAGGAAGAGGCTGATCCTGAGGTCGATCATCTCGCCTCCGAAGTGCAACGCGGAAGAGCTGGGGTCCGCCTTAGAGAAGTGGATCCAGCAGATAGGCAAGTACGAACGCCGCCAAGGAGAAGACGGGCTGGCCGAGTTGCCGGAGGATATCAAGATGGCGGCCCTCGAGATGCTCGTGCCTCAGGACATCGAGAACCACCTCGTACTCAACAAGCATCGGCTCGTGACGTTCCAGGACAGCCTGAACGAGGTAATGACGATCGTAGAGGCTCGGACAGGCGTGAAGATCAAGGAGCCATCGATCCGCGCACGGGCGCATCATCCGGACGACATGGACGTCGGATCGTTCGGAGCCCCGAAAGGAAAAGGCAAAGGCAAGGGCAAGGACGGCAAGAGCAAAGGGAAAGGCAAGACCCAGGAGCCGAAGGGGAAGAGCAAATCGACGAGCGGATCATACTCAGGCTCCCGCACATCCCCGACGGGTTCGGGCCGTGGTTCAGGGCACATGGCACCCCGAAGCACCGGCGTGCGCTTCGACGGCTACTGTCGGAACTGCGAGAGATGGGGCCACAAGGCATCCGAATGCTGGAGGAAAGAGCAGGGATCGAGTACGAGGGCTGGAACTGGATCCGCAACGGGGGCAAGCGCTGGTGGTAAAGGTGGCAGCCGCGGCGGCAAGGCCGGCGGCAAGGCGGCAGGCAGCCTGGAGGAGGAGCCTGAGGCGGAGGTCGCCGCTCTGGACATGGGCAGCTTGGACTGCCTGGAGCTCGCCAGCGGCAACGGCCGCGGCGTAGCGGCGGTCGACCTCTCCCCCTTCGTGCAGGACGACTGGATGAAGTTCAACTGGGACAGCGGTGCAGCTGTCTCAGCATTCCCTCGGAGCTTCGCGCCGCCGACGGGAATGAAGGGCAACGGCAGCACGTATCGTACGGCCAGTGGTGAGCTCGTCCCGGACGAGGGCAGCTTGCAGCTCAAGGCGGAGGACGAGTACGGAGTGCTCAGAGCGCTCAAGGGACGCGTGACGAACGTGCACAAGCCGTTGATCTCGGTGGGGCAGGCAGCAGGAGCTGGACAGTGTTCATTCCTAGGCCGCAATGGCGGCTGGATATTCCACGAGAAGAGCCCAATCGGCAAGCGCGTGGTAGACATGCTGGAGAAGGAGGCGAAGACGGCGAAGCACCAGATGCTGCCGGTCTATCGTGAGCAGGGAGTCTACAACTTCTACCTCAAGAAGGGCCAACATGGCTCGGTTGCTCCTCTCGAGGAGGGACTTTCGGCGAAGTCGAAGTCCGAGCTGGTGGAGCTCCTCAGCAGCAAGTCGAAGGAGGAGCTGCTGGAGATCTTCGAGAGGACAGTCCCCAGGAGGCAGCCCTTGGCGTAAGTCCACTGGAAGACTCAATACCGCGGTCCCCTGCGGCATTGGCTGCAGGGGTGGCAGCGGCGGGGTCGGGGCCTTCCGACATGAGACCGCCGGGTTTTCAGCCAGCGGCAGCTGCCGCGGCCGACGTTTTGCCAGCTGCTCCTGATGGACAGCAGGCCGACGAGGGCGAGGAGGAGGCTCGCCCGAGGGTGCTGAAGGCACCTCACGAGCCCTCTCAGAGGGAGATCGTCGAGCACGAGGCGATGGGACACGCGACCTACCGCAGCTGGTGTCGCGTGTGTATTGCGGCAAAGGGCCAAGGCCAGCCGCATCTCCGCGCACCGGAGGACGACGAGACGGCGGTGCCGGTGGTCTCGTCCGACTACGCCTTCATGGGCCAGGACGACGCGGACACCATGCCGATGCTGGTCCTTAGGGATCGACGCTCGAAGATGATGGCAGCGACATTCGTGGAGAAGAAGGGCGACGACGCCTACGCCATCAAGTTCTTCGCACGCTTCTTACGGATCCTGGGCTACAGGAAGATCGTCAACAAGTCCGACGGCGAGCCAGCGATCCTGCTGGTCAAGAGGCGTGCGGTGGAGGAGGTTCCTGGCCTCGAGGCCATTCCCCAGGAGTCGGCACCGGCCGATCATCAGGCCAATGGGGAGATCGAGGTCACGGTGCGCGAGATCAAGAAGCAGGTGCGAGCGCTCAAGATGGACCTGGAGTCCAAGCTGGGCGTCAAGGTGGAGGACAAGCACCCAGTGCTAGCGCACCTGCCGGAGCACGCCGCATCGGTGATCAACCGATACAGGCGCGGCCAGGACGGCAAGACCGCTCTTCAGCGGCTCACGGGACGGCAGTGGAGGAAGCCGGTCCCGCTCTTCGGTGAGCGCCTGATGGTGCGGTTCGCCGGGGAGCGCGCGAGGAAGAACGCGCTGGAGGAGCAGATGGTGGAGGCTCGCTACATCGGCCACCACCCGCGCGACGGCTCGATGATGGTCATCACGAGCGACGGTGTGAAGAAGGCGGTCGGCTTTCGCAGCCTGCCGCAGAGCGAGAAGTGGATCACGGCGGGCTGGGACAGCCTGAAGGGCCTGCCGTGGGACGTGGCTCCGCGTGCGGCCAGTGCGCCGCGAGCCATCGTCGGACCGGGAGAGGCCGGTCCGCCACCGATTGTGGTGGTGCCGCCGCAGCCGCAGGCGCCGAGGAGGATGTACGTTCTCAAGGCGGACGTCGAGCGGCTGGGCGCAACGCCGGGATGCCCAGGGTGCGTCTCGATCGCCAAGCACGGCAAGGTGCTGGCTGGCCATGCGCACAACGCGGTGTGCAGCAAGAGAATCTTCGAAGCGCTGGACGCTGAGGAGGCAGGCCGGGAGAGGACCGGCCAGTATCGAGAGCGGAGGCAGGGCCAAGAGGCCAGAGTCCGCCCGGCGGCAGCGGCCGCGGCAGGGACCCCTCCGCCGAAGACGGCTCGGAGGATCACCGAGCCGGTGGCAGCGGCGGCGTCGGCGCCGGCCGCGAGCCGATCGGCAGCAGCGCCAGCCGCAGCGGCGCGCATGCGAGAGAGCCAGCCGGGAGCATCAGGCTCCGGCGTGGCGGCTCCTTCAGGAGGAGCGAGCTCCAGTTCGGGAGCAGTGAGAGCGGCAGAGGCCGCCGAGGATGTCGACATGACCGCGACCAGGTCGCGGCTGAAGCGCTTGGCGGAGGTGGCCCCGGATGACGTGCCGGAGGCCCTCGAGCGCGGTGATCCACAGCCGGCAGACGTGCCGGTACCGGTGGACATGGAGGATCTCGCGGCGCAGCCGGCGCCAGCGGAAGGACCTCAGCTGCCAGCTGGAGTGGCAGTCGTGTGGAACGCCAGTGAGGGGAGACACATGCGGGTGCTCGCTCTCGACGTGGCGTCGATCGAGCTGGTCGAGCTCGGAGTGCTGACGAGAGCGAAGGCGGAGTTGCTTCCGCTCGTTCGCGAGCAGGTCAGCGGCCATTGGGCCAGCGTCGGCGTGGACATCGCCGACGAAGAGGTGGACAGCATCGCCTTATCGGCGTTGCAGCTGGCCGCCGTGGACGTGGCAGAGGTGTACTCGCCACATCGGTTCTCGGCTCGGGCGGCGGAGTTTCAGCTGCGCCCGGGCTTCGCGGCGGACCTGGAGGAACTCAAGGAGGACGGGGCGCCGTGGGACTTGCGGCGACCCGAGGATGTCAAGGAGCTCGAGGAGCAGCAGGAGCGGATGGATCCCATCCTGCTCACAGGGTCCCCTCCATGCGAGAAGTTCAGCTTGCTGAGGGGCCTGAGCGCCAAGTTCAGGACCGATGAGCAGGAGGCGGCTGAGATGGAGGAGGCCAGACACCACCTGAAGGTGGCAGTCGACGCCTACTGGCGTCAGCTCAGGAAGCCAGGCAGGTACTTCCTGCATGAGCATCCCTGGAGCGCGCGATCGTGGAATGAGGACATCGTCAAGGAGCTGGTCGCGCATCCAGGAGTCTTCACGGTCAAAGGCCCCATGTGTCGGTGGGGCATGAAGCTCACGAACCCACGCAGTGGCCAGGAGGAGTTCGTGCGCAAGGAGACCGGGTGGGTCACCAACCACCCAGGCTTAGCCCGGAGACTGCAGGGCACTTGCAGCAATGTGGACGGACGCGCGGAGTGGCATCGCCACATCACGCTCGTGGGCGGCATCGCGCGGTTTGCGAAGGTCTATCCACCGAAGTTGGTGGAGGCGGTGCTGGAGGAGCTCAAGGACACGCTGAATGACGTGGGGGAGCTCAGCACCGCCCAGGTGCAGCAGTCGGGCCCAGTCCCTGTGGACGCGGCGGTGCCGCCCGGGGACTGGACGAGCTACTGGGACGACGTCAATGGCGGCTACCTGGAGGCGGGCCTTGTGGCCCAGGCTCGCGCGGTCGAGCGCGAGTGGGTCAAGAAGCAGGAGCTGATCGAGATCGTCCCGAGGTCTCAGGCTTTCGCTGAGACTGGGCGTCCGCCCATCCCACTCAAGTGGGTCGACACGAACAAGGGTGACGCGGAGAGGCCCAACTACAGGAGCAGGCTCGTCGTGAAGGAGATCAAGGCGAAGAAGCGTCCTGACGAGCAGCTGGAGGCGTCCGAGGTTTTCTCGGCAATGCCTCCGCTGGAGGCCATGCGGTCGCTGGTCTCGCTGATGGTCACGTGGACGCGGGAAGCACCGCTCCACATTCAGGAGTCGCTTCGCAGGAAGGGCAGGAAGCCGGGCAACTTCAAGATCGGCTTCTTCGACATCAGCAGGGCGCACTTCTACGGGAAGGCGCAGCGGAGGATCTTCGTGGAGCTGGAGGAGGAGAGTCGCAAGGAGTACGGTGAGGACAAGTGTGGCTTACTCCTCAAGTCCTGGTACGGCACGCAGGACGCCAGCAAGATCTGGCAGGGCGACTACACGGAGCTGTTGGAGGAACACGGCTACAAGGCGGGCGTGTCATGCCCAGCGGTCTTCTACAAGGAGGTGGACGAGACGAGGCTGCTGGGGCACGGCGACGATTTCGCGGTGCTGGCTCAGCAGCAGGACATCGACAGCTTCGAAGCCACGTTAGGCAAGAAGTACGAGTTCAAGAAGACTGCGAACCTCGGCTTCGACGAGGGCGACGACAAGCAGGCGGTCTTCCTGAATCGGGTCATCGAGGTCAGTGCGGGAGTTCCGCCTGGCGGTGGCCGACCCTGCCGGCATGCGATGATCGAGCCGGACAAGCGGCACGCAGAGATCGTGATCGACGAGCTGGGTCTCAGCAAGGCCAACGGCGTGGACACGCCGATGGAGAAGCGCAGCGCCGACAAGCAGATGATGGACGCGAAGTCGGCGGCGCTGGGAACGGCGGAAGCTTCGCGCTTCCGATCCCTCACCATGAGGGTAGCCTACCTGTCTCAGGACAGGCTGGACTTGGCAGAGGCATCGAAGACGCTCGCCAGGTCCATGCAGACGCCGACGGAGGCGAGTTGGCTCATGCTCAAGAGGGTTGGCCGCTACCTTAAGCGGCATCCCAGTACGGTGACGGTCTTCACGGAGCAGAAGATGTTCGACAAGATCCGAGTGTACGTGGACTCCGATCATGCGGGCTGCGCAGTCACTCGGAAAAGTACCGGAGGCTTCGTGGCGATGCTGGGGCATCACGTCATCAAGCACGGCAGTAATCTTCAGTCGACGGTCTCTCTGAGCAGTGGGGAGAGCGAGTACTACGCCCTGGTGAAGGGCGGGAGCGTGGGCCTGGGTCTACACAGCCTCTTCGCAGATTGGGGGCTGGACCTGAAGGTGGAGCTCGCCTCAGACTCATCGGCGGCCCGGGGCCACGTCCAACGGCGAGGTCTCGGGAAGATGCGACATGTTCAATCCCGATACCTGTGGATCCAGGAGCGCGTGGGCAAGGGCGACCTCTCGATCGCCGCGGTTCCTGGTAAGAACAATGTCGCGGACGTGCTGACCAAGAGCGTGGGTGGATCTCTCTTGAGGAGACACATGGCGACGCTCAACATCTGGGATCGGGCACCGAGTTCGACCCAGAAGGATATCAAGTGAAGGAGTGGATCGAATCCATGCTCCGCTACCTGTGGGGCTGGATGAGTTTCCGCCGGTGGCGGTATGATCGCACCGGACGGGTGAAGTGAGGGGCTCGCGGCATGGCCGCAGCCTGGCTGACGAGATGGGCGCGTCGGCTTGGACGCGCCCGCGTGTGACGTGGAGATGGGCGTGTCGGCTTGGACGCGCCCGCGTACGACGTATGTCGTGCCTGGCCGGGTTGGCGGCCAGGCCCGAGGAGGAGTGATTCTGACACCCTCCTCCGTGTACCTATTTTGGCTCAAGATGAAAAGAGATCTTGTTGCTAATCAACACATTATCTCATCAGAGGGGGCCCCGAGAGCACATGGAACCGTCTTGTGGCCCTCTCCTGGCCTCTTGGGGGTATGTCGGAGGCTATCTTGAACCATCGCCGGTCATCTTGGGCCATCCTGGAGGCCACTTTGGAGCATCAGACCTCTCTTGGAGCCGACTTGGGCCGTCTTGGGCGCCCTGAACACCTCGCGGCCCGCCCAAAACAAACTCAGGGGGGGGGTAGGGTACCCCGTCCCGAGGGAAAGAGGCCTTGGAAGAGGAAAGAAACAAGAGAACTCGCTAGACTTACCTTAGCCCACAGGGCTGGTGGGATTAATGATAGTTTTCAGAGCCCCGAATCATCAGGGGTAACTCGGGTCAGGGCTAACTCGGGTTCGTTGTTTGGGATTCCGAACCCGACTTACCCCGGACCCGACTTACCCTGGATCATTCGGGCGCCCAGAGCCCCACATCATCAGGGGTAACTCGGGTCAGGGCGAACTCGGGTTCCCTTATTCGGGAACCCAAACCCGAGTTACCCCGGACCCGAGTTACCCCGGATAGCTAGGGCGCCCAAAGTTTTGGGTGATCCGAGAGGCAAGAAAACGAAGGTACTCCAGATTTCGTAATAAAGGGAGGGGGGTCTCATTTCGGGGGGGGGTCTCTTCCAAGCTATCTTGGAGGGCCTGGGGGGGTCTGGGGACGATGCTTTGGAGGGTTCTCCCACGGGGGGGGGGGGTCTGAAATGGCTTGTCTTGGAGGGTCCAGACCCCCTCCCTTGTATTGCGAAATCTGGAGTATCCATTCACTCGTGCTTTCCACGCGTTGGGCCGATTTCTCCTTCCTGGCCCCCCGCAGCTGGCCCATGGGGCTCTGGAATGACTTCCAGCAGGCTGGTCGCTGCTTAATCTCACGAGGGGGAGCAGCTTATCGTCGAACTCCCAGGAAACGATATGAAAATATTGGAAGTGGGGGGGAAGACGAACACCGAGAAAACATGGGAAACATAAGGGGAGTCCTGGGATCCGTGTGTATGTACACACATATACATATATATACATATATATATGTGTGTGTATGTGTGTCCCTTGGCCCCTTCTTAATCACATATTCGGCTGCATCTCCTTTTCCCAGGGGCCGTTCGGGGCGATGCTCCGCTGCCCCCAACTCCTGCCCCTGCCCTGCCTCTGACGCCCCCCATCCAAGGGTGAAGGCCCCACGCTCTCCATGACCCGCCTCTGCCAGGCCCCACCCCCGTCTTCGACGCCGACGACCACGGAAGGAAACATCAGCCTGGCGTCGGACCCAACCATACAGCCAAGGCGCTGAAATACGTAACACTTTGGGCTCGGAAAGGGCTCTGATTTTCGGGCCGTTCCTTGGACCTAGATGAAGGAACCGATTCGTGGCCGAAGGTCGCTGTGGCCAGAAAAGCCCCTTCTCTCCTTGTTCAGCGTTCCCTATAGTAGCACGACGACTGCATGCAGCTGCGAGTACCGAGCAGGATATGGAACGAAGGAGGGGGGCACGCAAACTACGAGAGCGCAAGGCATGGCACATCTTCGCATGGGCACCGCGCCACTGCATAGACGAGGCACAGGGCAGCGCGGGCAGGAAGTGGCTGGTGGAGGAGGAAGGCTTAGTGGGGCGAGCCACCACATCAGCATCAGCGTATCTCGAGACCTGTTACTGAACACGCAGGAAAAAGGTTATGGAAACACCGCGTAGATGTCAGCGGCAGGTCAGCAGCGGCGGAAGCGAGGCTGGGGGGCGCGCGGTCAGTAAGCGAAGGGAAGCAGGACGAGCGAGAGACGAAGAGTGACATGTTTGCCTCCAGGCCGATAGCGAGCCACGCAGAGTGCACCGCGCAAGCGGCGCCGCGCGAAAGTGGCTGGGGAGTCCCCGCCGACGCGGTCTGGTCATACCGAGGGAGTCCCATGGACGCGCGGGGGTCGTCCATTGCGACTCAGAGTAAGCGGATAGCGCTTCCGGATTGCGCGGCGAGGCGATGCGAAAAGGGCGCGATCTGGGTGGAATCCCCCCGACAAGCGCCGGTCATCCTCTGGCGAGAAATTCTACGACGAACTGGGGTCATCCAAACCTCTGCGACAGCCAGCGCGCGCCGCTGGCTCGCGCGCGGCCAGCCGCCACCGCGGCCCGTCAGATCAGGCCTTGCGGATGAACTCGCTGAAGCCCAGATCCCCGGCCAGTTACCTCGCTTTCCTCGTGCGCAGGTTCATGCGCGTCGCGAACCTGGTCGACGCCCATATCGGGAGCGTCGCAAACGCTTGAGACGGCGTCGCCCTTCGCGCAGGCGTACGTGAGCAGCCGGCCCCCCAGCAGAACTGCGTCGACTCTCCTGGCACCGCGTCCGAACTGGCTTTCCGAGCCAGTTTCAGATCACGCCAAGTCGTCTTCAGTGTAGTTTCGGATGAGAGTGCGATCCTCCAGCGCTGATCGCCGCTCAACGTCAGGAGTCTCATCACGAGGTCCTCCAGCGTTGCTTGCAGCATCATCGATGGCGGCGGCGCAGCAGCGAAGGCGGTGCCTGGGCCCAGGGCACGAAATTCGATGTCCTGGTTGTCCGCGGACAATCCACAAACCACAATGTTCCCGCCACTTGTGTTCAGTATAGTATATTTCGCCCCGGCGGCAACATGCGTGACGCCCTCACTCAGGGGTGGGATGTCGCACTGCCCCCTGTCATTTCCGCCGCAAGCTGCTGCAGCGCCATATCGCTGCGCAGCAGCGGCGAGTGCTTCCACCCGGCTGCGACCGAGTGTTTCCGCCCGGCTGCGACCAGTGGGCGATCATCATCCTGCCCCCTCTCCGCGGGAGACAGAACCTTTGCAGGTTTCTTCTCCCGCGGCTGGAGAGGAGCCTTTTTCAGGTTCCCATTCCGGCCGAACGCGCGACCCTTTTCAGGTTCCCTCTCCCGTGGCCGAAGGGAAATCCCTTTTCAGTTCCCCCCCGCCGAACACGCAAGCGGGACACAGACCCTTTCCAGGTTCCCTTGCCCGCCGCCGGAATAGGACCCTTTTCAGGTTCCCCTTCCGGCCGAACGCGCAGGCGGGACAGGGACCTTCTTCAGGTTCCCTCTGCCGCGGCCGGAGGGGGACCCTTTTCAGGTTCCCCCTCCGGCCAAACGTACCCATGGGACAGAGACCCTTTTCAGGTTCATTCTCCCGTCGCTGGGAAGTGACCCTGGTGCCCCCTCCGGCCAAACACAAGCGGGACAGAGACCCCGCGGTTGGAGAGGGACCCTGTGCAGGTTCCCCCTCATGCCAAACGCACGAACATGTCAAGGACCCTTTTCAGGTTTGTTCTCCCGCGGAAACGAAAAGGATGAGATGTGGAGCGGGAGAACAAGGAGGAGGAGGAGGAGTAAAGGAGCATGTGCCAGCGCTTGATCGACGCCAGCAACTCTTTGGTGGGTCTCTTGCGCCGGCAGGGCCTTCGCAGACCAGACCCCTTCCACAGGGGCCTGCTCGTGTTTCCAAAGGCCGACAGGGGTCGAAAATCTACCGACCTCCTGCATCGGCCTAGCCGGCGGATTCTATGCTTTTCGATGAACGCACTGCGAAAGAAAATCGGCAGCTCCCGGAGGCCGTCGAATGATGAGACGAAGCGCAGTCACCATCGCTGTGTGATATTGCGCGTCTTCACGTGCAGCAGGCAACTCTTTTGTGGGCCTCTCGCACCGGCAGGGCATTCGCAGACTAGGTCTCGTCCACGAGCCCTCTCGAGATTCAGGAGGCCCACGAGGGGCGAAAGTCTCCGCTGGGGCCTTCGGTGGAGCTCCCTGTGGGGCCAGGGGCCACGAAACGTGTCAGGGGTGTGCCGAAATTTGTGTGGGGGCGGCATGCGGGCGCAGCCAATGGGGCTTCTGGTGGAGCTCACTATGGGGCCACGAAACGTGTGAGGGGTATGCCGAAGTGGGTGTGGGGGCGGCATGCGGGCGCAGCCAATCTGGTCTTCGGTGGAGCTTCCTATGTGGCCACGAAGCGTGTTAGGGGTGTGCCGAAATCTGGTGGTGGGGGAGGCATGCGGGCGCAACCACTGGGGCCTTCGGTGGGGCTCCCTATAGGGCCACGAAACGTGTGAAGGTGTGCCGAAATGGGTGTGGGGAGCATGCGGGCGCAGCCATTGTGGCCTTCGGTGGAGTTCCCTATGGGGGGAACGAATCGCGTTAGGGGTGTGCCGAAGCTGATGACGATGATGACGCCGATGATGGTGAAGATGATGGTGATGATGACGCCGATGGCCATGATGCTGATGACGATTATGTTGACGCCGGCGATGGTAATGAGGATGAGGATGAGGATGGTGATGACGATGACGACAACGATGACGATCATTGTGATATTTGCGATAATGATGGTAATGACGATCGTGATGCCGATGATGGTGTGCTGACGACGGCGATGAACATGTGGCTGGTGATCATTATGTTGAACATGCGGATGATGACGATGATGCGGATGATGATGATGATGATGATGATGATGATGATGATGATGATGATGATGATGCTGATGCTGATGCTGATGCTGATGCTGATGATGATGCTGATGCTGATGATGATGATGATGATGCTGATGATGATGATGATGATGATGCAGCTGCTGCTGCTGACGATGATGATGATGATGCTGCTGCTGCCGCTGATGATGATGATGATGATGATGATGATGATGATGATGATGCTGATGATGATGATGATGATGATGATGATGATGATGATGATGATGATGATGATGATGATAATGATGGGAAGGGGGAGGGGGAAGAGGAAGGAAGGAGAGGAACGCGCGGCGCTGTCTCTTCAAAACGAGGACCCAAAACCACAGGACGGCATGGAAAAAGGGTAGGCCCCCGACGGTTTCCCGAGCGAGGCAGTTGCACGGCGGCGTGCACAGGGTCGGAGGAGGAAGGGCACCCATACCGCTGCCCTCGCCCTAAGTTTCTCCTCCGAGGGGCCCCCCTATGGGGGCCCTCGTCGCCACCGTTGGGACGAAACTCTGGTCAGACCGCACCCACTTAGCATCGCTCGGACGTGTGCATTTCTTCTTCGGCGAGGACCATCGAGGAGCATCCTTGATCATTTGGCGAAAAAACCACGCACGAAACCTAAAAAAACACAGGGAATGGACGTCCGAGCGACGGCCAGTAGGGGGCCCTCGTCGCCACCGTTGGGTCGAAACTCTGGTCAGACCGCACCCAAGGGGGAGTAGCGGTAGCGGTGCTTCTTTGGCTTCCTGACAAAAAGGGGTGGCGCCAAGGAGGGCGGCCTGCCGAGGAGGCGGGGGTCTTCTGGAGTCTGTTGTCTCCGCCCCGAGACAGTAGACCTTAGAAGAGGAGGAGGAGGAGGAGGAGGAGGAGGAGGAGGAGGAGCAGGAGCAGGAGCAGGAGCAGGAGCAGGAGCAGGAGCAGGAGCAGGAGCAGGAGCAGGAGCAGGAGCAGGAGCAGAGCAGGAGCAGGAGCAGGAGGGAGGGGGAGGAGGAGGAGGAGGAGGAGGAGGAGGAGGAGGAGGAGAGGAGGAGGAGGAGGAGGAGGAGGAGGAGGAGGGAGGGAGGGAGGGAGAGGGAGGGAGGGAGGGAGAGAAGAGGGAGGAGGAGGGAGGAGGGAGGAGGGAAGAGGGGGGAGGAGGAGGGAGAGGAGGAGGAGGAGAAGGAGGAGGCGGAGGAGAAAGGGAGGCGGAGGTGGAGAGGGAGGAGATAGGAGGGGAGGAGGGAGGAGGGAGGAGGGAGGAGGGAGAGGAGGAGAGGAGGAGAGGAGGAGGCGGAGGAGGATGAGGAGGAGGAGGAGGAGGAGGAGGAGGAGGAGGAGGAGGAGGAGGAAGGGAGGGCAGGCCGCGCCCGAACGCGCCGCGCAGCGATGCGCGGCGGCGGACATGGACGCGGGCCCGCCGCCCCCCTACGGCGCCATGGGCGGCGGCGGCTGCGCGCCCGAGGCACTCGCGCTGGTGGAGGATGCCCGGGCGCCTGTCGGAGTGGCCCCGGCCTGGTGTGCTTAAGTCGGGCCTGTCCCCCTACAGGGGGATTGTCGACGAAAAATAAAAAAGACCCCCAAAAAATAATCCAAATATAGTCTGGGGGCTATTTTTTTAGTATGCCTTGACCTTTTGGGGGTATTTTTTATTTTCCGTCGAAGATCCTCATGTAGGGGGACACGCCCGACATAATGGTGTGCCCGTCGGGAGCCTCTAGACGGGGGTCAGTGCAGACGGGGGTCAGCCAGGGCGCCGGGTCCTGCAGGATCCTGCGAAGGCCCCCTCTGGCTGAGCCGGGCTAGCGAGCCGCTCGTGGCCGCGAGGCGGCCGCGCCCATGG